ATTGTTGTCTTAGGTGAGAACGGTGAAGTGCTGGTCGTAGTCGCATTGACGGTCACACCGGTTGTAGCAGACGTTGAGGTGGTCGGTTTGCTGTCATTATCCACCTTCTGCATAGCAGATGTCATGGGAATTAGAGCCGGCTCGGGTTTTACAATGAACGGTGAGGAGGTTGCTGAACTCGTCATTTGGTTGGCGGTCACAGTGTTTGGCACACTCCCTTGAGCCAGAAGCGACGGTTTCGGAGACGGAGGGCTGTTTGTGTTAGCAGCTAGGAAACGAAATAACAAGCCAAATGTAATAAGAAAATGATGAATGAACTGTGTGTCGAGGTAACAGGAAATGTAGGATAGTATGAGGAATACAACTGGGTCTGAAGTAAGAAAAGTATCAGTGGGCAGCGGTGATACAGAGGTGCTGATCACGATCACATCGAACCCCGTCACCGTCATCTATCATTACCCATTGATTGTATTGCAGGGTGCTCTTTGGATTGACTCTTCCAGAAAATGTTCTGTATCCAAGTAAAAGAAGTCAAGAAAAAGAAAGAACCTGGGAACTGGGCGGCGCTAAATGTTGGTAAACGTGACTTGAATGAGCACCCGAGTGCCAATAATAGTAATAACAATCCATGTATCGTATAAATTCCAAGCAATCGTATGGCGAGGGAAGGAATATACATTAACCCAGGGACCAAAAGGAAAAGGCATTGATACCGCCCTGAAAATCGAAAATGGCGTTGACAGTACCAATTAATAATAAGGTGGAAGATAAATTTAGGGTGCATTGTGATCCGACGCAGAACCCGAGTTATGCAGAAGCAGTGTTTCAGTTGCTGTCACCGATGTGCTTTGCACTCAATGTCGAGGTTCGAGACCCATCACCGTCACCTAACTTTGATGGTAGGCAGCTTTGCTATCATCTGGTTCAATACCATGTCTGACGCAGCGGAGCCTCATGTGGTTCCTCACTCAAAGTCCTGGGGCTTGGGTTACCGGTTTCCATCAGATAACAGCAGGTCTTCGTAACTATGGGGTTCACCCCCTCTGCTGTTCACTCCACTAAGCGGATCAAAATGAATAGACAAAACCGGATAGTGTGCAATAAACAGAGGCCACGCATAT